CCTGCTATTCCGATGAAATATTATGAACATAAAAGTGATAAGAGTTCCACGGAGGATGACGAGGAAGCTCCTGTTAGGAGCAAGAGACAGAGGACTGCAAAGTCCTTTGGTGATGATTTCCTCGTGTACCTCGTGGATGATGATACTCCCAGCTCCATTTCAGAAGCTTATGCATCTCCGGATGCTGACTACTGAAAGGATGCGGTCCGTAGTGAGATGGATTCCATCTTGGCTAACTGGACATGGGAGATCACTGATCGTCCTTATGGTTGTTGACCATTAGGATGTAAGTGGGTGTTCAAAAGGAAGCTTAGGCTCGATGGTACCGTTGAGAAGTACAAGGCTAGGCTTGTGGCCAAGGGTTATACCCAGAAAGAAGAAGAGGATTTCTTTGACACTTATTCACCTATGGCTAGACTGACAACTATTCGAGTGTTACTCACTTTGGCCACCTCACATGGTCTTCTCGTTCATCAGATGGACGTTAAGATGGCTTTCCTTAACGGAGAGCTACACGAGGAAATTTACATGCAACAGCCGGATGGCTTTGTAGTAAATGGTCAGGAAAGAAAGGTGTGTAAGCTAGTGAAATCTTTGTATGGCATGAAACAAGCGCCTAAGCAATGGCATGAGAAGTTCAACACTACTCTGACATTTGCTGGCTTTGTTGTGAACGAAGCCGACAAATGTGTATACCATCGCCATGGTGGGGGCGAAGGAGTTATACTGTGTCTGTATGTCGATGACATACTAATATTTGGGACCCACCTCAAGGTCATTGAGGAGGTCAAGTCTTTTCTATCTCACAACTTTGAGATGAAGGACCTGGGTGTGGCTGATGTTATCCTGAACATCAAGCTACTGAGAAATTCTGAGGGTGGAATTATACTTTTGCAATCCCACTATGTTGAGAAGATTTTGAGCCATTTTGGATATTCGGACTGCAAAGCTTCTGCAACACCATATGATCCTAGCGTGCGGATTCGAAAGTTCGAAGGCACAGCTGTAGATCAATTGAGATATTCTCAAGTGGTTGGTTCACTGATGTACCTAGCATGTGTTACTCATCCTGACATCTCATTTGTTGTGTGCAAACTGAGCCGGTTTGTTTCCAATCTAGGAGATGTGCATTGGCATGCTGTTGAGCGAGTGATGCGTTATTTGCAAGGTACTGCGAACTATGAAATTCACTATTCTGGGTACCCGACGGTACTTGAGGGGTATAGTGATTCGAATTGGATATCTGATGCTGATGAGATGAAAGCCACAAGTGGACATGTCTTCACACTTGGTGGTGGTGCTGTTTCCTGGAAGTCTTGCAAGCAGACGATCTTAACCAGATCAATTATGGAAGCAGAACTCACAGCATTAGACACATCATGCGTCAAAGCAGAATGGCTTCAAGAGCTTTTGATGGATTTGCCGGTGGTTGATAAATCAATGCCGGCTGTCCTTATGAACTGTGACAATCAAACAGTGATTGCCAAGGCTAAGAATTCAAAGGACAACATGAAATCCACAAAGCACATAAGAAGAAGATTGAAATTTGTCAAAAAATCACGAAACTCCGGAGTAATAGCGTTGGATTGTATCCAGACGGCTAAGAATCTGGCAGACCCTTTTACGCAAGGGCTATCACGGATTGTGATAGAAAATGCATCGAGGGAGATGGGTATGAGACCCACGTAAGTTGTCATGGGGTAACCCAACCTATGTGATCGGAGATCCCGTGAATTAGGACCTGGGAAAACAATCCAGCGGTCAACTGAGGAGAGTATCCTTAGTAAACCCACTCCGTTGGAGATGCAGTAATACTCTTAATTCTATAAGGCAGGCTGACTTTTGTCTTAATGTGTTCCAAAGCTTATGTAAACAAGATGCTAACCTACAGAGCATTTTTTGGAGGAACACATATATGTGAGTCCGACAGTTGGTCACAGTCTATGAGATTGGGTAATCTCTAGCAAGCTCATGAGAAGGTACGAAGTATGACTAATAAGCTCCACCCGTGGGGTTTAGCCTACGGCAGCCATGTATCAGCTGACAATAGGCGAAACTTCTGCACGCCAAACTGACAATTCAAGGCATAGTCCATTGTTCAGTTGTGAAGAAGTCTAATCCTGTTGCTCTAGGTGGAAGTTCAACTTAACAGTCTCCACTGAAAATTCTGGTATATCAAACATTGTTTGGAACAGTTAACAAACTTATGTGCCTCGAGATCTGGTGAGGGATTGTTGGATTATGGATGGGCTTAGGCCCATATAAGACACTAATCCCTGGTTAATCTTGAGGCCCATGTATGAGATGGCAGGTGGTGGGAAGTTTAGTCCCACCTTGCTAGTTGAGGAGAGTTGAGACCCCTTTATAAGAGCTGCTCTACCACTTGCCATTGGTTGCTTGGGAAGAGGAGTGGTACACGCGCGCTCCTCCTCCGCCGCCCGCCTCGCCTCGCCTCGCCTCGCCTCGTCACGATGCGCGCACGCCGCGGGTTGCGGGAATGAGCCGAAGCTTACTTTTGCTGCTCAGGAACGAATTAATTAATTAGGGATTAATTAATGAGTCGCTAACATGTGGGCCACTGTCCAAGACGTTAGACTGTGGGCTGACTTCGTCGACTCCCTTGCCGAGAGTGCGACCCTTGCCGGGAACAACGACTCCCTTGTCGGGAGTGGGTCGACTCGATCGTGGGCCTCGGCAAGGCCCACGACTTTCTCCCTTACGGACTATATAAGAAGGCTCTGACCAGTGAGGTAACCTAGTTCGGTTCACTCACTCCCTCTCGCGTGACCTAGCCGTCATCTACTATTCCTCACTCTGTGCTGCCTCCGGGGATCCCATCCAGACGACCGCGTGCACGGCTGGTCAGTAGAGCAGGTGTCTCCGGAACCCTATCGTTCGAGATCCTGCCCGGGAGAACGGCAATAAGGTTTTTGGGGAGTGTCTCGACGCGACTGCTCCCGATCTGTCCCCAACTCCGTTCGCCTCTGCTTCCACTACTTCCTCTGCATCGACACCATGGCCGACGCTGACGCCGCTAAAAAGAAGGCCACGGACAACACCGAGGCTGCTGCTGCCGCCGCTAAAAAGAAGGCCACGGACAACACCGAGGCTGCTGCTGCCGCCGCGTTGGCCTAGCCAACTGGAGGGTATGATCTGTTCATCCCTCGTTTAATCGTACTTATACTAGCCGTATATGTGTTGCTCATAGAAGGTTCGATTCTATGTTCTATACATGCTAGTATGCTTAGGTATCGCTATGAGAGGCATACCTTCTATGCCATGCTTACTGTTTACTTGTGGATAAATCTAATCGGAAAAGTGCTCATATTTCCAACATGTCCTATGCAGGAGCATCGGGGTTCAAAGAGTTGCTTGTCCGATGACTTACCCTCCAAGTGTAATGCTTCCATTCGGTAGTCTGCTTCCTGATCTTTTTTTAGGTGTTCAAGTGAGGTCGCTTAGAGCATCTCCAACGTAAGACGCTTAAGGAGAAATGACTCAACAAATACGCTAAAATAAAACAATCACCATAGCTGTTCTTTTTTTGACACTCATCACCATAGCTGTTACTACAACGCTGAGAAATTGTCTTCAGAAACACAAATATGGAGGTTTCCTTCTTAAAAGAAACGCTTTGTATCTCTCCTGCGTCTTCAAGAAAAAACACACACACAAATGTGTAGCCTATACTGGTCACGAAGACCAAAATTATGTATATGGAGTGTGCACTGCCCGGGGAGGTGCACCATTTCCTGTGGCGTTTTGGGCATAATACCCATCCTTTGTACAGGAATATTGAACGCCGACGAGTAGAAGTGGACATCAGATGTGCCGTTTGCTGCAGCTGTTTTGAGGACGGTGGCCATCTGTTCTTCAGGTGCAAGAATGTGGAAGCACTATGGCGTGCAGCGGGGTTAGCAAAACGATTTATATTATATTATGGGACGGAGGGAGTACTTATGGCGATGGTGGTCTGAACGTAACAGGATCAGGCATGGTGACCGCTGTGCAGCACCGGCAGCACTGGCCAGCCAGATCAATGCCCAAGTGACTGAATGGCAAGAGTTTCAGCATGAGCATAATCATTTTTCACCACTGATTGCCTCCCACCACAGCAAGCCATTGCCTCAAGCAATTTCGATCGAGCTCAACCGGGAGTCACATGTTCAGGGGAACAAAGTACCTTCTCCAAATGGGTTTCATAGATCATAAAGTTTGATCGCTGTCCCCGTGGATGTAATGTTCCAGCGCATTGACTGGCGAGTCATGGTGTTAGGGTGTTGGGTGGGAACCAGACTGTGTGGCTTACGGATCTACCACTGGATGTAACGAGTGATGTGGCCGGCGATGTTGCCGCGGTCACTAGTTAATGGAATGTAAGGTGTTCCATGTAAACAAAAAAGGATCAAAATTATGTATGTACTTCCTCCATTCTAAATATAAGTCTTTTTAGACATTTCAAATGGACTACAACATACGGATGCATGTAGACATATTTTAGAGTTAAGATTCACTCATTTTGCTCCGTATGTAGTCACTTGTTGGAACCTCTAGAAAGACTTATATTATGGAACGGAGGGAGTATATACCTAAACAGAGTATGCCAGTATAATATCACCGGTAGATTTTTTTTTCCTTTAGTACACAAATATTGCTGATTACCTGGCGGGCTTCATCCTTGAAAGAAAAAATAATCGAAGGCACACATGATTACCTGACAGGCTTCATTGTTGAAAAAAATGAAATCTGTGAGGTATTCGCATGCTAAGTTGATGTAATGTTGATTAACATCTTCATTCTCCAGACTTCCTTTTCAAGGCAAATACTGTACTGGCATGTCAATTCTGAAGAATTCTCCCGATCAAGCTGATGAACGCAATCTCCAGAATTTAATCTTAACTGATCTTCTAAATTGTACTCCCTCCGATCCAAAATAAGTGTCGCAGTTTTGAACTATATCATTTACTCATGGCCAAAATTAACCCATCGCTGCATTCTAGTTATTTCAGAGGCTTCTCATTGTCAGATGATGAAGAGGTTGCCCCTAGCAGAGACGACAGAGATGGACGCAGCAAAAGATACAAGGAGGGTCCAAGCAAAGGCACAACTGCCAGTGGCAGAACCCAACCATTTTTCCTGCAAACGGAATGAGAAAACAAAGAGCAATTATAATATTACGACGTAGGCAAGCTATAAGAGATGCCACATTATATTTTTGCCTAGTTGGAGAAGAGAGAAGATAAGCAGATTGTAGATTTTGAACCAGTTGTAGCACGGACATACAGTAGCGTATAAGTATGACTAACTATTGTATGAGTGGGCTATTAGGTTGGCTATAAGTGACGTGACAACTCCATATAGCTGAGTGTTCTTGGCTATACTATTTAACCTTGCTCTAACGGGACATCTGTATATCTTTATGTTTGCATCAAGCAAGGTGAAGTTACTCCCTTTTTGTTTACATTATTAAGGTCATAAGCATTGGGACTAGCACTCTTACCATCGTCTTGATGTCATATCATTGTAGACCCAAAATGGCGAGAAGGTCGAGAGCAAAGTAAAATCAATACACGTGACATGGATCTGACAGATGGCATGAAACAACAGGAAATTAGTTCGGCCATTAAACCTTTCTGCTTTTTAAAACACAGAATGGAAATTAGTTCAGCCCTCAAAACGTTCATGCTTTCTAAAGCAACAGATATGCATATACCATTTCAATATATGGCAACCATATCAAATATGGTTATGACAAAGTACAGCAAACAGGTCATTCAGAAGCTTGGAATGGTGAAAAACAGAGTAAAGGCCTGATTTTCACTTCCTTTTCGCACATGTCCATTTGTGCATTAAACCAGTATTTCATGCAACTTTTTAATGTACCCACACCATTCCATGTGTTATGATTGTTGAATGCACTAACAGAATAATGATTGAAAATTGGTGGCTTTAGGTTCTACAGTGTATACCTGCAACAAGTCTGAAGTTTTTAGGAA